ACCGAGAATCTCTATCCAAGGTCTCACCGAACTCCTCCCACATCCGAACTTTTGCCTCAGCAACAGCCAAGGCTGCAGACCACTTGGCCCTCCGGTACTCCGCAGCTGCCTCCGGAGTCCCACCAGCCAACAAGGCACAATAGAACTCTTTCTTCAGCTTGACAGCCTCCCTAACTCGGGGTGTCCACCACCAAGTTTGAGGATGGCCACCGCGAGAAGCACCGGCAACAACTTTGCAGCCACAGCTCAAGGCAGCACCTCAATAATTCAGGCGAAGATATGACCCCTCAGACTCAATGTGCCCCACCTCAGCTGGGATGCAGTAAAAGGTCTCCTGGAGGTGTGAGTTGAAAATCTTTCTGACAGGTTCTTCTGCCACACGTACCCAGCAAATCCTCACTATACATTTGGTTCTACAGGGTCTGTCCAGCATCTTCCCACGGCCTCAGATTCAACTCCAGGTGGTGATCAGTTGCCAGCTCATCCCCTCTAATTAAAAATTGCTTGATGAAATTAAAATGCACACCAAACAAAAGCTTGGGACTCATGATAATAAGAATGCCTGGCCACCAATATTTTAATGGTGGCCATAGCCCCCCTCTGGCCACCCTTTAGTGATGCCCAAGGTTGCAGCTCTGAAAAGATACTGACTTAAGCGGTGTGAAAATGGTCCTAATTACAGGATTTGTGTGTTTATGTGTGTGTATGGGGGAGGGGTGGGGACTACTGAGGTGCCTGAAATCCCACCTGTATCCCATTAGCACAAAAACAAGGTGCAATAACATTAACTGGTCCCCTCCCACAACACATGGAACTGATTGTTTGTCAACAAACAAGCACGTTACTGAATCAGGTCCGTTAAAATGTGGAGATGAACTTTTTTATCTGTGGAACTGTTTTGTAGTCTGCACACACACACACACACACACACACACACACACACACACACACACACATCTGCATTGCAGAAAGCTTTGCAGAGAGTGGTGAAGGCTGCACAGAAGTCTGTCGGAGTCAGTCTCCCCACCATCACAGACATCTACACCTCTAGATGCAGGAAGAGAGCCACCTGCATCATGAAGGACCCCACTCACCCAGCACACACACTTTTTGCCCCACTCCCCTCAGGAAGGAGGTTGAGGAGCATTAAGTGTAGAACCACTAGACTGAGGAACAGCTTCTACCCTGAGGCTGTTAGACTCATGAATCTCTAACTAGAATAATCACTGTGAAAAACCATATCATGTTGCTGCTGATAGGTTTCATGTTGCTGCTGATCTGTTTCATGTTGCTGCTGATCTCTTTCAATGTTGATGTGTTCATGCGTGCACATCTGCTCACAGACTCATGTTCATGTTTGTGGTGATGTTCAATGTTTTTATGTTATGAGTGCTTAGTGTATATTTAGTTGATGTTTTTCTTAGTTCATATCTTAGATGTTATTACTGTTTTTCTTTTACATTTTATTGTTGGATGTAACTGGGACCCTGTGTACACAATTTCGCTCCACCACATGTACCACATGAGGTGCGAATGACAATAAAGAAACTCTGACTCTGATTGTTTTTTTTTCACGTTATGCTCTGTGTTGCACCGTGATCCTGGAGGAACATTGTTTCCTTTCAAAATGTGCTTGTACGTAGATGAAATGACTATAAAACCTCTCTGACTCTGACACACACACACACACACACACACACACACACACACACACACACACA